CCTGTTCCGAGGTTTATGTAGATAAATAACCAGCAATACGTAAAACCTCTGATCTAGATCAGATTAGAAAAGATCACCGGTTAGGTATCATGCTGGACTCGAACATTAAGACAACCTAGATTTGTCTGAAATGCACCGCAGGACATATTGCCTGTGCAACAGTGTAACACATAAGCTCATTTTTAGCTGTTCGTATTTACCACAGTTAACTACACCATATCCGCGGAATCTAACAGCATATTTCATTTATCCTATTGATCGATGAGTTTGACACAATACTGTAAACTGATTTAATCGCGCAACCGGATTTTGAAGGAGGGGGGTGGGAGACTCACACCTTGGTTCATTTATTCACTTGAGGTGACGGATTTCTAGGGCCCCGGATAGGGGGATGGGGTAAAACGAGGTGAAGTGTCTGCATCAATGAATTGTGTTCACACCGATCCCCCGTGTGGGAGACCCTAATACGCATGGCTTCTGGTTAGCACGGAACAGCCAATCTATGGTGTGTGTGTGTGAGAGAGAGAGAACGAAGTGTGAACTCACTGTGTGTCTCGACCACATTCATAATACGATTGGTTCCGGTATTTGGCCAAACCGGCTGGTATTTATGGGTCCGTTCGAGAAAATCACCTGACCGTGTCCCGTGAGAACCAGTAATAGTGCATGCACAGAACAGGATGATAGTCACAAATTTGATTTCCTTGTTGCAAATTCCGAAAACAAAATATTCAGATTCACCGCACAACCATGAACAGTACTAGCTAATCGCTTATGTACTAATTCTGTTGAGTTGTTTCATTTGAACCGCAAGAATCAAGGCTTCTTTCTAACCTCGGCCTTCTTTAAAACATTCTCGATTCACGGAACCTTTCGGTTATCTAGGTTTGTTCCGGATCTCCACTGGGCACACAGCTAGATGTTAGAACTTTTAGCTTTTGTTCTATTGTGTCTTGAGGGGCTGGTTGTTAGAATTTCAGTTTCAGCCATTCAACAGACGTCTCGTGACTTTCGCCATTCGATTTGTTGCGCGACGTCCGTGCCCATCTCATTAGGAAGATATTCCCCAGTGCTAGTTCGTTGTCTACGCGAAATCTTGCGTGCGACTTAAATGAATCCGGAGAACTGGTCTGGTGTTGACGTATTACAATACAAAACTTTAACGCAGATGGTTCTGTCAGGACTTCAGAGAACTACCTGAAAGTGCTTTGTTTTGGACGACCGGTCAGAACCAAGATTACCGAACTCAGGTTATCGGTGGGATCTGATAGCCAAACAAAATGGCTGACAACGATCAACGATAGAATTTTGACAATTTCTATCCAGCAGCAACGATTAAAATGCCACAGTTTGTGTTAAATGAAGTGGATTTCACTGTAACTTTGTTATTCAGGTGTAATGCTTTGAACAGCCTTTTGAACTTACCTCCTCCAGTTTGAAAAACAATTTCCTCAAACTTGGTTATTCGATAATGTTCAATGTTATCTTTTCAAACTGACGGCATTTGTACCATACTACCTACTAATCTAATCCATCATCGTTGTTTTGAAACTTTCTTCCTTTTGGATTATTCTCTTGACAATGAACCTTTCGGTTTCATATGATGTTGAACACTTCCATGTAGAAAAGCAAGAAAATTTGTATTTTCTGTACATACCATTGTGACACATTCCCGGAGAGAGAGAGACGGCAATGAACGAGCTCGTTTTCGATGGTTCATCCAGCAGCTAATGCATCACAATTTATCTCCTGTTTTTCGGTGGGTCAAAATTCATTGCAATTTATATTCCAACAACAGCGAGGGGGTCAGGCTTGATCGGAGCTTTAAGGACGCATTACTTGACGAAAAGAACACACAAACCTCAGTATGCGCTACGGGTCACTTTCGGTTTTCATCCGCAGAACGATGAACTCTGTAGGCACAGAATGATCACTATGAATTCGATGTGTGCGTGTGTACAACGAATGCGAATTCAATGAAATGTAGCAAAGTGCTTTCTCTTAAAACCCACAGCCCAATAACAAGTGTTGCCTGATAGTTGGATCCCGATTACAATCACCAACTGTTTCCTGTCCATGTGCCAAAACTGTCACTCAAACCGTCGCGGATTATCCACTCGCATGAGATATGTGGGGGGGGGGGGGGAATTAAAATAGCGTTGCCAGCATCCATGGTTGATAGTCAAGTTGACAATAATCCCCACTCTATACATTGTTTTTTTCTTTTCAAATCAAACGATGATTGTTTTTTTTCCAAATCGTTCGAGCTTCTGCGTACAGTAGAACACGGGACTAATGTTTTCTGGGCATTTTAATTTACAAACCATTGTTCGTTTGTGGCCTTTCCAACTGAAGTAGTCTCCGAACAATACAAAGTTTCCGGTTGCCCGATGAATCCCACTCTGTTTAGATATCATCCGGTGATGTCTAAACAGAGTGCCTCTGGCTGATTTACTGTTTCAATCAACGTTTTAATTCAGTTAACAGGACTGTACACGAGGTTCAAAACTGCTTCCTGATCAAACGGAATTCGGTACAATAGGTGATTTTTGGATAAAATTCAGTCAACCGGTACGTTACAATCCGATCTAGGGACCAACAGTCTTTTTTTAATTTAATTTAATTTGACGTCTGATCATGCGTGCAAAGTTACTTTATACGACCAGATACCAACTTTTCATAATGCATGACGGATTCTCACTGCGAGGTGTCAAATTAGACTCTACTTTTATCCCGCTGGGGTAACTTTCAAGGACATTATGGTAGAGCAAAAACTTTCTCCGCTTTCATCTCGTTGCATAGTATAAGCACTACTTCGAGTGATCGAAAGAAAAGCAACCATAATTTACTAGGAAACTTATCGAACACTGGGTTTCCACTTAACCCACCTACCTGTGTTGTTACTGCACAGCCTAACCGAGCCATGCTACAATTCGCATCTAGCATCCGAAGTTGTTCACGAAAATAATGGTCTGATTTATTCTGGCAACTGTACGATAGGGGTTGATGTTGCTTTTACTCATGAATAAAAGAAAGAAATCCAACCACTATGAATGTTCTCGGACTTACCAAGTGGAAAAGACTGAGTAAATTCCAGCTTGTAAAAAAACCCCGTCCCACTAAACACTTGTCGCTTCTATTTAGGTCGACCTCAACCAAATACATTTACACATATGGATTTCTGAGCTTTGTAGGTTTTTAGAAGTGCCCATTTTCGTGTTGTGATGTTATGTGCGAATATGTCCACGGATGAGGCGTCAACGGAGGCTGACGACAGACAGACGCATATGCTACGGTTGGGTAATTGAAGGCATAAGGATATTTGTCTGAATCGCTTGATTCGTAATTGGTTCAAACTGATGGCCTAGGATTCGTTGTCCTGAATAAGTAATTGTATTGTATTGTATTGTATTGTATTCAAACTTTAGCGAGTTATATAGAAGCTTTGAGCCAAAAAATATACCACCATTACAATTGTGGTAAAACACAGGTGAAAAATTGCGATGTGAAACGTACACATATGAGTTAATGACTAAATGTATTAGAAAGCTCAGAACAAACACTTTCCTTGTCGGTCAATGTCCGGGTACCAAAGAGTTTCTGTATGCACATATACGAGATGGGATAAGTTTGTACTTGGAACGGGTGCAGGGGTGGGATTTGCATGCACACAAGTCAGTGTGTAGAGGATGGGTGCAATCAGATAGGATATTGTCAGTAAACTTTAAGCATACATCAATATGAGCATTACACATATTGCCAATCAGAACAGACAACGGAACTTAGGAGAAA